ACTGGGAAAGCCCTGGACGCCGCGGGCTGTCGCCTGACGTGCGGGTAGGCGGGCGGCGCGCAGGCGGGAGGCGCGAGGAAGGCCGGTCCGGGGCTGCACGGGTGCGCAGGGCACTGGGCACCGTGCTTCCCCTACTGCTGTTGGGAGCTCGGCGCAGGCTCAAGACCTCTGCGGTTTTGGCACCTAGGTTGTGTCTAAATTGACCTCGCAACTGCCAAAACAGCCTGTTTTCAAAGTACACCATGGGCCTTTTGATGCCATGGAGAGCTGAATACGCTAAATAAATCTGTAAGACCCACTTTGCACAGCACTCGGGTTCAGCTCCAAGACACCAAGTTTCTTTTTATGGCACCTTTAAACCAGCAGTTTGATGCTGACGCAGGCATTGTGCTGTGTGTGTGTGTGAAACAACTGAGGTCAGCAGAGCCACGAGAGCTAGGAATGGGCCAGGTTTCACACTGAAGTTCTCTCTCTCCCGTTTTCCTTTTGAAATAAGCCCATTTGGGCCATTAAAAAAAAAAAAAAAAACCATGTGGTACTGGGTATTTGGCTGCTGGAAATCAGCTCCTCGTTACTGAAAAGCAGAATAATGATGCAGGGATTCCTGGTATAGCTCAATAGCACTCACAGTCACGTTCTGCCCCTCCTGGACATTTGAATATATGGACCGAGACCATCAAGGGAGCTGTGACATCCTGTGCCAACATGGGAGGTAAATCTTGAAGACTAATAAAGGAGCACTTGAATCAGTTAAGAGTCCTTGAAGCATGATTTATTGATGCTCCTCTATGAGATTTCACCAGGGAGAGGTGCTGTCATTAAAAGAGACAATTAGCAAATCAAAATAACACGGTGGGCAGCTGATGGGCAGCGAGAACCTTTGGCAGGGACCACCTCGAGCCTGCTGAGCACCCCGCAGGGATCCTCTCTGCTTCCCGCAGGCTGCCTGGTGCCAGCAGCCAGGGGCACCAGCTTGCTAGCTCTGCATGAAGAGGTGGAAGTTGGTCCTGGTGAACTCCTGGTGAATACTGTCAAGTAACTTGTCCGAGTCCTGCGGGACGTCTGAGAGGACCGGCTGCCCTGGGAGGAAGCTCTGCTCTGGGGTGTAGGTGAACGTGAACGAGTTGGAGTAGATGAGACCATCGTCCCTGATCAGCAGGAGTGGGACCGTGATGGGATATCGCAGCCACCTCCAATCACTGCCAAAGGCAGAGACGTCAGGGACAACACACACCAGGGATTTGGGACTCCTGGGAAGGGCACAGAGGAGGAAAATGAGCATTAACCCAGGAGGAGCCCCCATGCAGCCCTGCACACAGCAGCTGGCGATGAGGTCTGGAGTTGCCTGGAGCTCAAACCTGGCTTTTGTTCACGGGCTGCTTTCTGGCTGCTGTTACGGCTTTACCTGTACATCGTCTCGGCTTCCACGTCTCCAAACCAGACCTTCAGGTGTGCATGGAAATACTCGCCCTGCACCTCCAGCATGGCCACGTCCCCTCCACCCGTCAGCTGTGGCGAGCAAGGCGTTAAGGGGGTGGCGCGTGACGGCCTCCCGCTCCTGCCAGATGCCCTGCCCGTGCTCCGGGAAGCCGGGATGCCCCTGGACCATGTCTCAGTGGTGGCCCCTGCCTACCTGCAGGGCGGTGATGAGCGGGACGGGGCTCACGGGCTCCCGGCTGCAGGCCAGGCTCTCGCTGAAGGTGTACTCCACCGTCTCCGTGCCGATGATGGTCCAGCAGGAGCCGTCGTTCAGCAGCTCCCGGTTCGCTTCCTTCGGGCAGGGAGAGGCCTGCGGGGAGGGTCACAGCCCCAAACGGGGATGGTAGAGCACTGGCAGCCCAGACACCCGGGCTCTGCCCTGGTGCCCGGGTTTTGGCATGTAACTCTGTGCCTCTGCAGCTCCAGCTGGGGGTCATGATGCCTTTGCAAAGGCCTCAGTGCTCCCCAGTGACAAGGTCCCCGCAGAAGCAGGTAGGACGGAGGTTGATGGAGGTCTGCAGTGACTCTTAGCTTAATTTGGAGGCCGACCCTCTTTACTGGAGACCTCTCCCCTCCCAGAAAAGTGCTCCCCGGCAAGCAGCGGGAGCAGAGGAGCTCAGGGAGCAGACCTGGAGCACCCCGCAGCAGTTCGCGCCCCTCTCGCGCCGCGGTACCTGGAACTGGATCACTTTCTCCGTGGAGAGACACAGGTACATGCGGTCACTGCCCTGCAACTGGAAGGCGCACTTGTGGAGCTGGGAAATAGGCTCATCCACATCCAGCATGGCACACTGCTTGGTCACCTTCCGGATGATCTGCCGGGTGGCAGGCAGCCGGCTCAGCCGGGACGGCGCCTCGGCCTCCCTCCTGCCGCCGGTGAGGCTGGCCCT